TGAGTTTTCTTATGGGTTTTATTCAATTACAAAATTGAAGTTATGAATTCAGTTATTAATTATTTCTTTAGGTTACATTGAATAGAGAAACATGTCATTTAACTTCTTTATGGTAATTGTTGATGTTTTGGTCTAAATTGAAAACCATGATCCTCAATCCCTAACCCTAGGTAGTGATCTTGAACTATATTGTAGTTGTGATCATTCAATTGACTTTGTTATTGATTAGATTAATATCCTATGGTGTTATTATGATTAAAGTTAAGATGAACTATAGGACTATTATGCTAGTTTTTGAGATGTGATTTAGGTTATGAATTGTAATGTGAAATTAGCCTATGTATCTTGTTTTAAGTTGTGAGCTAGTGTTGAATTATCTTATAGAGATGCAATTGGCCTTATATCACACCCGGATTCTGGAATCCGGATGCGACCGGCGTCGTTAACCTCTCAGAGATCGCAAACAAACCTTTTCTTAGCTTTCATCACAATCATGTAGTTAAATTTCCAAAAAATTTAAAACTTTTTAATGCTTAATGAAGTGTACATAGACTTCATATAACTACTATATAGAGTGAGATTCTAATAAGCTCAAACTAAACAACCATCTATCAATAGATTAAACAATTGAAATAAAGTATCATAATTATAATAATAGCTTGCCAATCGACATTATTACAAATGCTTGAACAAATGTTTGAAATGAAACGCTAGGGACAACAACCACTAGCTATATCTAATGTATTAAGATAGAATAATAAATGTAGCATCCTCGAACTCAGGAGGACCTACCAAAGTCTAGAGATCGCTAATCCAAACCGCTTCGTCGAGTCTTCAATCTTCTCTAGAAGATGTGCCTATAAAAATAGTAATAGTATATGGGGTTAGTACACACATATATTAAGTATGGGTGTATGCACATAACACATAAGGACTATGCATGATCAAGGAAAGCTCTTCCTAAAGCAACATGCCATTTCTTGAAAGTTAAGTCTCTTTACTTTCTTAAATCATTACTTCTTATTTATTATATGAATATGACATGTTCTCATGCAATCAATCCATACAACTCATTTTCTATATGAACATATGACCTTGGAATCATGAACATAATTTTAGAACAACTTAAACAGAAATTTGTATTTTTGCTCCCTCTAAGCCGAGAACTCCTTTCCAACACTTAAGATTATTTTTCAGTCTTTTCTTCTTTCTGTTGTGTAGTTTGATGATCTCCTTTAATCTTATGTCAAACTTACAAGTGCAATGATTCATTATAGTTCCATACCTACAACGAGTCGAGTAAGTAATCCAAAAGACTCAAGAAATGATTTGGCTACCTTACTTACAAGTTATATCTTCTATTCTTGTTAAATTGGCATAAGTCTTTATGAGCCAATCTTTATTATATATGCCCATTATGTGGTTGTTTGCATAGTATAAGGATATTGGAGCATTGATTAGCCATTAATTTTTGCTCCCCTTTATTGGTATAATATAAGAATTCATTATAAGCCAATCTTTATTGGTTATACCCATAACTTGTTAAAACATCATTCTTATCGAAACTGGTAATTGATATTCTTGAGCTCTTACTTTCTTAGTTCACTTTGAACTTACGTTTCTACTTCTTTGATTTGTCGTTCACCATGAACATGCTATTTTCATTCTTTCTTAGTTTCATTACAAAATTTTTTAGCATTAACGGAAGCAGATCATGCGAGCTAACATTTAATCCAGTGTCTCCCCCACACCTAAATGAGGTGATTCACCGGTTAAGGTGAACCAAATTTTGTGTCTAACCCACACTGAAAAGGGGGGTTCACTAGCTAAAGTGCAACCAAGTTAGTGTCTTCCCCACACTGAAAAGAGGGGTTCACAGCTAAAGTGGATTGGATATTTTCCTATGCTATAACTGACTTTGATCATGTGAGATAAACATGAAATCCAGTGTCTCTGCCACACCGAAAAGAGGTGGAATCACTGGCCAAAGTGAAACCTACTGCTAGCCTTCTTAAGCTAGTACCCCTATGCTGGCAAACATAGTTCGAAGACTACGAGACATAGTTCGAAGACTACTTGTTTACCTTGATGGTAGCCTTTGTCTCATGACACTTACATGTTCTAGCACAAGCTCATTGCTAGTCTATCGGTGCTAAACTCAGATTTACTTAACTTTCTTATCTCTTAGAGTATGACCAAACATCAAGGAATCTTGCTTCTAGTTATGAGATTTACTTAACTCTATGGATGACTGGTCATCCCTTTCTTTGATTGATGAACATGAACTTAGGTCTTACATTATCATCATGGTGCAAGTGAGACTTTTCTCATGGACTATGGCACACTTTTATGTGAGTATTTTTGACGTAATAGATTAAGTGTAATTGCCACTTGTCTCACTTCTTTTAACACTCTATATTAGGTCAATTTCATAACTTAAGCTTTTAGTTACTTCATTACTCACCTTAACTTGTTCAACATTCATTGGTAGTTTTGTGCAATTCTCTATGAAAGTTATAATAACTACTTATACAATGCTATTGCGTTCACAAGTTTGTGTGGATAGGGTATGTTGGGACTTGTCCCATAGATTGGCATACCCTATGATATGAGTTCATTGATGTAGTGATTGATATGCCTTTACATGTTTTGGAAATAATAGGTTGGACATAGTTTTGCTAGCCAATTTGTTGGCATAAATTACAATTTCATAGATACTTGTAATAACGATGTCACTATCCATGCCAATCACTTCATAAATACATTATAATAAACTATCAGGATAAACAAGCCAACTTTTAACCTTATATTAGGATATGAGACAATTTAATGAACACTTATAACACTTCATCTTCTCGAACACAAGTAGGCATTACAACACTTTAACGTTCATCTAGATAACACCCTAAGTATGCGGATATAATATGTAGGTTTCATTCGACAATAAAATCATGGAAACATACGCATAATAATCAGTTAACACCACATACCAACAACAAGCTCAAAATTCACATCATACAACTTGCAAGAATCGAAAATCGGGAGAACTATGGAGATCAACATGTGATTCATTGGGAACAACCCTAGTTTCGATATTTTTTATTGAAAAAATGTTTGAAAAGCCTCTTGAATAAATAATTACAGGAGATAAAACCAATACCTTATGTAGAATTGAATCTACGAAGATCACTTTGCATGAAAATCTTTAAGATTACCTTGAAATTACTTAAGAGAATTGAGAGAAATTTTCTATATTTTCTCATGTTTGTTTACTTTTTTGCAGTTGAGAGTTTTCTAGAGTTTGAACGTGATTCTAGGTCTTAGAAACTTAATATTTAGTAATTTAACTTAGACTAATTAACTTAATTAATAATTCAATAACCTAATTTACTAAAATGCCCCTCCTAAATTGACTAGAATTAGAAGAACACTTGACTTGACCCCCACATGTGCACGCATGCCCCTAACCACCCTAAGCGAATTCTTGCACATTTGCTTGCACATGGGTTGCTGCTCATTTCTTGTTGTCGGAAGGATCCTCACTATATCCTTTGGCACATCTCACTCTAAATTATCATTTTAAATTATCATGTGCTATGGCAACTAGGGTTGACACTTGGATGCCTCGTACCTGATGTATGTATTATATAGTTAAAATTTTTAGCTTAGGGTCTTTATTGTAGGTACAATTCCTAAATAAAGTTGGATTGGAGCATTTTAACAGCAAAGTATATCTTAATACATATAAATTTGCTAACACCCTTAAGCCAATATTCTCTAATATGCCCAATATTACTCAATATTGGGCATTGGGATGCCTATGTACCCCAATACCTATTCTTAAAACTGAATAGACTCTTGACTAGACAAGTACATTTTCTTAGAATCTCTATCTTTATTTCCAATTGTGATTAATTGTTGTTAAGTAATAATGTTATATTGGAGTATGCCTTATACTAGGATTATAGGGTGGTATGATGTTGAATTGAAATGTCTTGACTATGTTGTGAGATTGATTAAGGTGTATGTGATATAAGGATGATAGAAACTATCAAGGTATCTTAATATGCTATAAAATGCTAATGTGTTGAAATCACTTATATGAATTGTAACTTATACTCATACAATTCTTATTGAGCTATTGATGATGATGAATATACAAGGGGTATACCCCATAACCTAAACTAAGCTATGATCAATAATTAAAGGCTTAAAGACATTTCAACAAAGGGACTTTTACACTGAGTAACTTGACAGTGGAAGATGATGACTTCCCAAACAAGAAGATTTTCCCTATAGTTCAAAATTATATGTTGACTTCCCAAAGAGGAATACTAATCCAATGGATTCCCATGTTAGGAGGCCCCAACTACCAAGTGGTATCAAGAGGGAATATACTATCTCTTAGTTCTTGAACTATGTTGCCCCCATAGGAAGACTAGCTAGTGGATCCACCTAGAAAGTTATGTTTTTGTTTGGTTCTACTTTGGCCAGTACACCACCTTTCATCGATGTAAGGGTTTATAACACCGGATTCCATACTGAGCTCATGTGGTCTATGCCAGTGAAGGTAAGTGTTCCCTGAAGTAAAATAAAGTGACGAAGTATAAACTAACTAAGGTTTCTTGAGAGGTTTAACTTGGCCTAGGTAGGCGTATGGGACTTTACCTATGCCTTGCACTAGTTGACTTTGATGGAAGCTTTAGGAAGTCGATATTATGTAAGCATATGATAATGATGTATATGATGATAATATATTGATGCTACAATGTAAATGTCTATATATGATGATGATTATACTCTTGATATATGTTGGACTATATTGTTAAACTTATACATTGGTTATCTTTCCTTGTTGAGTTTACTTGGTTGGGCAAGGTTATGGGGTTTTGATTGATCATTGCACTTGTTGACTTGATAAGGATTGATGATTCGTTGTCTTGATTATTATGATATGATTGACTCTTATTCATTCTTGTGATATTATTCATTGATTATAGGGTTGTAGTAAACCATGGTTTCAAGTATGCGGGGATAAGGATTACTTGTGAGATAGTAAGCATGTTTGGTTGGTTGACATGACTTGCGTGACTTTGCATTAAGTTCCTGTAAGGGTAAGATGGCATGTTTTAACTAAAAGTCCTTTTTTTTATCATGTTTTGATTGTATATGTGCATAAGGTTTCATAGTTAGTAAATGTGGAGTACTAACTCTATTTTCTTCCCTTTTTCCCAAACATTTTAGGTTCCATCGTTGAAGAATTTCTAAGGCGGCATTGTTGAAGGCTTGGATTCTTCCTTTCATCAAAGTGAGGTAGGTCCTCAACATTTGTGGTCAATGCCATCATCTAGCTTACGAACTTGTTATGAGCTTAATGACTCTTTCATTTCTTTCCTTTTCAATTGAGTACTATACTTTTTATGGCTTATATGTAATCTTGTTGGAATTATGTAAGGGCTATGCCCATATTGTAATAATTGTTTAGATGGTATGAGATAAGACAATTGTTGAGACTATTCCTATATTTTATATATTTGTATGTGCAATAAAAGTAGAAGGCTATTTAACCTTTCTATATGTATGGTCTATGTATACTTGATATGAATATATTTTATATGTATGTAGAGGACTATGTAAACCTCCAAGTAGTTATAAGGAAAGTTTTGAATTTTTCCGCATTTTTCAACCTATGAATCTACTGATATGAGACTAAGAGGCTAGTCTTAGTCCTTAAAAAGGAAGATGACGATGGTTACATCTAGAGGGATAAACCCAGATGTGACAAACTTGGTATCAAAGCATGAGGTTGAATATAGTTGAGTTATGTCTCTCTCTCTACCACGTCTATGTAGGTTTGTATTCATAATTGTGAAGTATGCCACACTTATGAGTAGGAACCTATATGATGCTTAGGAATCACTCTCTTTCTTGGAAATCTTATATCGTGCCAATAGAGTATACTTATGTGTGATTTTACATCTAAACCTATTATTGTGATTATAGGAATCATGAATTCTAGAAGAAATACGGCTCGAAGACTTGAGGAGGAAGTTGCTAATGCGGGAGCTCCTCCCTATGGTCACCAAGTTCCTCCTCTTGAGGAAAATGCTAATGTTGACCAAGCCCCGGCTAACCCTCTACCCACGGAGGCGGGGATGAGGGGTATTGTTGCTCAAATGGCCCAAGCCATTACTACTCAAGCACAAGCTGTGACGGTTCATGCCTAAGCTATGACAGCCCAAGCCAATCGAGAGATTGTTCCCCGTCCTCATCAACAAGTCCCTACTATGGCTTCCTGTCTAAGGGACTTCACTCGAATGAATCCTCCTACATTCTATAGGTCTAAGGTTGATGAATACCCCAAGAATTCATCGATGAGGTCTATATGATACTATATGCTATGGGAGTGTCTTAAAGTGAGAAGTCCGAGTTGGACACATACCAACTCAAAAATGTGGCTCAAACTTGGTATAAATGGAGGGATAATAGGCCTTTGAGTGGTGGTTCAGTGACTTGGGATATCTTTAAGGTTGGTTTTCTAGAGCAGTTCTTCCCTAGGGATATGAAGGAGGAAAAAGTGGTGGAGTTCATCAATCTTCGCCAAGGAGGACGGAGTATCCATGAGTATCCTTTGGAATTCATTAAGTTGTCCAAATGTGTTCCTTCTCTGGTCTCCAATCCTAGAGACCAAATGAGTCGCTTTATTCCGAGGGTGTTGAAGGACTTACAAGAGCAGTACCAATCGGCCATGCTACATGACAACATGAACATTTCCCGTCTTATGGTGCATGCAAGAAGGATTGAGGAGGCAAGGGCTAAGCGAAAAAGTAGAGATGCTAAGAGAGAAAGGTCATATGATGGTTGTTCTTCAAAGAATAAGCTTGAAATAAAAGACAAGCCTAGATTAGAAGCGGGTTTCTAATCAAGTCCTTTCTACATTTCCAAAACCTGTGGGTGATAGGGTGTCTAACCCTAAATTCAAGAGGGGAAAAGGTACTAATTCACCAAATGAGAAGCCTACTTGTAACAAGTGTGGGAAGGGCTATCTTGGTGAGTGCTTGGTAGGAACGGGGATTAACTTTAGTTGTGGAAAGAGTGGTCACAAGATGAGAGGTTTTCCTAACTTGAAAAGTCAAGACAAGGGTATTTTTCAAGCTCAATCAAGTGGTTCTAGTGATGATCCAAAGAAGAACCGCTTCTATACTCTTCGCCCTAGGGGTGAGCAAGAGACTTCTCCCGACTTGGTAACCGGTATGTTGAAAGTTTTCTCTCTTGATGTATATTCCTTACTTGATCCCAGTGCTACTTTATCATTTTTTACACCTCTAGTAGCTAAAAAGTTTGATATTTTACCCGATATATTGCATGAAAAATTTATAGTGTCTACTCCGGTGGGTCAGTCAGTTATTGCAAAAAGGGTGTATAGAAATTGTCCAATAATATTTCCCAATAGATTTTCTTTTGTTGATCTAGTAGAACTCGATATGCTTGATTTTGATATTATACTGGGTATGGATTGGTTGCATTCATGTTTTGCATGCATTGATTGTAGGACAAGAGTGGTGAGATTTAGCTTCCCAAATATTTACTAGATAAGGGTTTTATAAGGCCTAGTATTTCTCCGTGGGGTGCTCCGGTTTTGTTTGTGAAGAAGAAAGATGGTTTCATGAGAAAGTGTATTGACTACCGCCAACTCAACAAGGTCAGCATTAAGAATAAGTACCCTCTCCCTCAGATTGACGACTTGTTTGATCAACTCCAATGGGCGAAATACTTTTCAAAAATTGACTTGAGATCGAGGTATCACCAACTTAGGGTAAGAGGTGAGGATGTACCAAATATGGCTTTTCGAACTAATTATGGGAACTATGAGTTCTTGGTGATGTTTTTCGGTCTCACAAATGCTCTAGCGGCGTTTATGGACCTAATGAATAGTGTGTTTTGAAATTACCTAGATTCATTTGTCATTGTCTTTATTGACGATTTCTTGGTGTATTCAAAGAATAAGGGTGATCATATGGGTCATTGAGAGTGGTATTGCAAACTCTTAGAGAACATCAATTGTATGCCAAATATGGTAAGTGGGAGTTTTGGTTGTGGTCGGTGATATTTCTTGGGCACATTATCCCTAGTAAGGGAGATGAGGTATACCCAAGGAAAATCGTAGTGAAAAATTGGCCTAGACCATTGACTCCAACCAACATTAGGAGTTTCTTGGGTCTAGCGGGTTATTATCGAAGGTTCATAGATGGTTTTGCGTCTATTGGGTCTCCTTTGACTACTTTGACCCAAAATAGTAAGAAGTTTGAGTGGTCGAAGGCGTGTGAGAAAAGCTTCCAATTGTTGAAAGATAGGCTTATTTCCGCTCCGGTGTTGACTTTAAAGGAGGGTACAAAAGGTTTTGTAGTGTATAATTATGCATCCCAAAAGGGGTTGGGGTGTGTGCTTATGTAACATGGGAAGGTTATAGCCTATGCCTCTAGGCAATTTTAGTACATGAGAGAAACTATCTCACTCATGACCTTGAGTTAGAGGCAGTGTTGTTTGCTTTGTAAATTTGGAGGCATTACTTGCACGGAGTTCATGTTGATGTCTTTATCGATTATAAGAGTCTCTAAAACTTGTTTACCCAAAAGGACTTGAATCTCTGACAAAGAAGGTGGCTAGAGTTGTTGAAAGATTATGATGTGAGTGTCCATTATCACCCTGAGAAGGCTAATGTATTTGTGGATGCCCTAAGTTGTATGACTATGCGTAGTGTATCCCATCTTGATGAAGCCATGAAGGACCTATCAAAGGAAATACATAGGTTGGATAGGATGGGGTTGAGGTCGGAGATTTCTCCAGATGGGGGTGCTATAGTTCATCATAACTCTGAGTCACGTTAGTGGTTGAGGTGAAGTCCAAACAACAACACCTTGATCTAGCCTTAATAGAGTTGAAATAATCGGTTATCGGCAAGTTGAATGAATCATTCTTCTTAGGGGGTGATGGTGTGTTAAGGTACCAAGGGAGATTATGTGCTCCCGGTGTAGATGGGTTGAGGGATCAGACCCTAGAAGAAGCACATGGGTCCCGCGACTCAATTCATCCAAGGTCGACAAAAATGTACCATGACCTAAGGGAGATATATTGGTGGGCAGGTCTAAAAAGGGACATAGCGGAGTTTGTCTCTAAGTGTACGAATCGCCAATAAGTAAAGGCCGAACACCTAAAGTCGGGTGTCTTACTAAAGAGATCAAAATTCCTACTTGGGATTGGGAAGATATATATGGACTTTGTAGTAAGTTTACCTCGGACTCAAAAGTCATATGATTCCATATAAGTGGTTGTGGATTGATTGACTATGTCCGCTCAATCTATTACCGTCCGTCTACATATTCGATGGAGGATTATGCAAGAATCTTCCTAGATGAGATTTTATGCTGCCATGGCATTCCGTTATCCATCATATCGAGTCGGGGTGCAGCATTCACATCTAGATTTTGGAGGTCGTTCCAAAAAGGGTTGGGTACTACGATGAAGTTGAGCACCACTTTTAATCCCCAAACATTTGGTCAAGCAGAGCGTATGATACAAACCCTTAAAGATATGCTTAGGGCATGCATTATTGATTTTAAAGGGAATTAGTGTAAACGTTTACCTTTGGTGGAGTTTGTCTATAATAATAGTTTTTGCTCATTCATTTCCATGGCTCCCTATGAAGCCTTGTATGGTAGGAGGTATAGGTCTCCTATTGGATGGTTTTAAGGGGTGAGCCATCACTTCTTGGTCCCGAGTTGATCTATAAGACTTTGTAAAAGGTTCATATCATAAGAAATTGATTGCAAACGGCCTATAGTCGGCAAAAGTCTTATGTCGATCATTGGAAAAGGGATTTGGTGTTTCAAGAAGAAGATAAGGTGTATTTGAAAATTTCACCAATTGAAGGGGTGGTTAGATTTGGCAAGAAAGGGAAGTTGAATCCTCGTTATGTGGGTACTTATGAAATCTTGCAAAGGGTTGGTAAGTATGCCTATGAATTGAAACTTCCTAGTGAATTGGCTTTGGTCGATCCGATTTTCCATATTTCTATGTTGAAAAAGTGTATCGGTGGTCTTGAGTCCCTTCTTCCTATTGAGGGTCTTGGTGTCAAGGATAACCTCTCTTATGAGGAAGTTCTGGTTCAAATTCTTGATAGGCAAGTCAAGAAGTTAAGGAATAAAGAGGTGGTTTCCGTAAAGGTGATATGGAAAAATCATCTAGTTGAGGGTGCAACATGGGAGGCTGAGGCCGACATGAAGTCTCGTTACCCTCATCTTTTTGAGAATTAAGGTTAGTCATTCTTTAAATAATATAAATATGACTAGAAGTTAAAGTATCTTGAGTTTTGGATGAAGCTTTGCATATTATGCATTTTTGAAAAACTTACAGTGAAGTTACGGTAGTATTTCTTTAAAAAACTTGAAATTTTTCTTTTTGCTAGTTTTGAGTCATGTTGTGCATTTTAATATGGTGAGTCTTCATTAAATGATATGTAGCATGTTGTTAAATTAAACTTTGTGCTAATTAACTCATGTAATGTATGTTGATCTCACAAGTGTTGTGAGAAGAAAATGCCTCATGATGAAGTGTTTTGAGCATTATGTGTGGTAATATGAGTTTTGGTATTTGACTTGTTGAAATGGTATGATTTATGTTGATTTGATATTGTTGATTTGTTGGGCTAGTCTTGAGTCTATTCCTTCCTTCAAAAAGAGTTTTGGTGTCATTTGGGGACGAATGTTCCTAAGGAGGGGGGGGGGGAATAATGTAACACCTTGAAAATCCAAGATGTGTCGTAAAGACTAACATAGGTGTCATAAAGTCTAAGTATTGTTTCTAAGTCCATGTTTAATTGATATAGGTCATTTAGACCAAAACGTCCAAGAACGTCCATGACGTATGGGAAGTTGGTTCAAAGGGGTGTTAGTGTCCTTTAACCTATTTGACTAACTTTTAGGAGTCGAAAAAATAAGAAAAATTCATGGAAAGGTAGCTAATAGGTGTTTGAGTTCTTTCATGGTTGAAATGTCCGGGTATGATTCCTCAAGGACCAACCATGGGCCCTTGAGGAGGACCCTTGTAGTTTGATGCAATACTGCCTGGTAGTCTGCATCGATGGGAGATAACATGGTTGTGTGTAGATCGATGGAGAGTTGATGCAACCATTATCCCACACTTAGGCTGGTTGAGAAGGTCCCTTCACCCGCACAGCCTCTTAATTCATATATGGAGTGCAGAGGTGCAGGCTAAGTCTATGTGTGGATCGATGGGGCGTCGATGCCACCTTCATCCCACACTTAGCCAATGCATCGAAGACCCTTACCTGCACATTCTCTAAACTCATACACGGAGTGCAGGACGGAGGGGTGAGGGACCGTCGACTCACAGACGGCCCATCAATCAGGGTTTCGTCTGTGAGGGTTGAGTTTTCTGCCTAATATAAGTTGGTCTCATTTTAATTAGTTAGGGGGTTAGGTGGTTTAATTGAGGGTTAAGGGAGTCTAATTAAGTTGATTTAAGACCCAATATAAATACTCCCAACTCTCATTAATCTAAACACAACTCTCAATTAAACTCTCTTCCTTCTATCTTATTTCTCTCTCTACTTAAACTCACGATTGAAGGCTAGAAAGGATTAGGTTTTTGGGTCTGGAGAGGGACGAACTCACCATCAAATTGTTGTCAAACATTAAGGTATGGGTTCTATTCACCTTTGAAACTCTTTCCTCAAAGTGTTCCTTCAAAATAGATTTCAAAAGTTGAGTTTTCTTATGGGTTTCATTCAATTACGAAATTGAAGTTATGAATTGAATTGTTAATGATTTCTTTAGGTTAAATTGAATAGATAAACATGTAATTTAACATGTTTATGGTAATTGTTGATGGTTTTGTCTAAATTGAAGAACATGATACTCAATCCCTAACACTAGGTAGTGATCTTGACCTATATTGTATTGTAATCATTTAATTAACTTGGTTATTGATTAGATTACTATCCTATGTTGTTATTATGATTAAATTAAGATTAATTATAGGCCAATTATTCTAGTTCTTGATATGTGATTTCAGTTATGAATTGTAATGTGAAATTAGCCAATTTATCTTGTCTTAAGTTGTGAGCTAGTGTTGAATTATGTTATAGAGATGCAATTGACCTTATTATCTTATTGATTATAATTGTGTGATGTTACTCTCAAAATTG